TGTGTGTATGTGTGTGTGTGTGTATATGTGTGTGTGTGTGTTTCCTTGCAATGTGTGTTCTATTTGTTATCTTCGCTCTGACTTTTTGTCATGATAAAGGGATTCCAGAGCTGCGACAACAAATGAGTTGTGTTGGGTCCTACACTTCAATGATTGATTACCACGTTATAGATGTTTCCTCAATGTTAAAGTGACACTAAACTCCAGAGTTCAATCCTAAAAATACAATCGAGTCCCTTCACTCTAAACAACAATGTATCTTATTTGTGTGTCACTCGGCTGTAGATCCTCCAATCATCGGACACTGCTGACACTGTCCTTCCTTCTGGAGGGTGACTACGTCTGTTCCCCATGCTCTCTGTGTGTGTTGTAAAGTAGTCACCGCTCCAAGCCCGCTCCCGGGATGGACTACAATCTCAGGTTCAGTTTACTGATTTGTATTGAGCTTATAGTCTTTGGAGCGGTGACTACTTTACAACACACAGGGACCATGGGGAACAGAGACGTAGCCCCCCCCTCCAGAAGGAAGGACAGTGTCAGCACCAATTCAGTAGTTCAGATAGCAAATGAGAACCTGACAGAGGGTCTATCCCTTCCCCACTTATCCAACCGAAAAGAAGCGGTCAGCCCTGCAGCCTCCATATTAAAGGCTCTGCAAAGGCATCACGTATTGCATGCGTCTTCCATTCCTGAGATGTGGGGGCTGCATTAGTTTTCCTTTATCAGGCTTCATTCCCCTTTCCTGGTGATCCTGCCTGTAACATACTTCCTGTCCTAGGGTGACAACACTCACTGTGCTGCATCAGGACCATGGAAACAGGACAGGACTGCATGACACTCTTGTCTTCTCTTCTCTAGAGGGGGAAGGTGTTCTGTAGTCAGAGATAGCTGGGTACAATGTAACTGATAGAGTGCCGCACAGGAAGGTTATCGGCTCACAGGATTTCCGGCAGGATCAGCAGGTGTTTTTGCACTTCTTAAACGGCTCTAACCAAAGGCTTTCAATGTTCTATGTAACAGATACAAATGGAGCGGAGGAGAAGTTCATTGTCGGGGTGTACATCCCCTTTAAGGTGCCATTTATAAGAGGGTCTGAGAGAAGTTGTGCTGAGCCCGTGTTTTTGTATCTCCCGCAGGTGACGCAGCCTGAAGATGTCGGGGAAGGGGACTTCCGGCCTCGTGCCGATCATTGTATTTGGAAATGTGATTATAATGGTGAGTAGAGGGGGAGGGGGGGGGTATTAAAGTGGACCTGTCATCAGACATGTAGCATGCTCAGTAATGTCAGCGTAACTCTTCCAGGTATTTATTACCGGTCGTAGGACTCCCCCTGACAACGCCTCCATCTGCTTTTCTATGCAGAAGGACGGCGCTGTCTTTGTTCAGGCATCACCCAGGGTCACCGTGTACTTGCCGGGCTGAGATGTCGGCTCATATGACACAATCAAGGAAATCCCGGGGTCTGTGCAGTTCCTGGCTGTGTGCAAAAACAAAGTCTGACACAGATCAGCCCCCTGCTTCAGCATCTCACTTGGTGACTTGTTACAATGTAGCAGACTGATCACTGGGGGAGGGGAGACTGAGGAAATGCTTCCTCCTGCCTGCAGCAGACTGATCACTGGGGGAGGGGAGACTGAGGAAATGCTTCCTCCTGCCTGCAGCAGACTGATCACTGGGGGAGGGGAGACTGAGGAAATGCTTCCTCCTGCCTGCAGCAGACTGATCACTGGGGGAGGGGAGACTGAGGAAATGCTTCCTCCTGCCTGCAGCAGACTGATCACTGGGGGAGGGGAGACTGAGGAAATGCTTCCTCCTGCCTGCAGCAGACTGATCACTGGGGGAGGGGAGACTGAGGAAATGCTTCCTCCTGCCTGCAGCAGACTGATCACTGGGGGAGGGGAGACTGAGGAAATGCTTCCTCCTGCCTGCAGCAGACTGATCACTGGGGGAGGGGAGACTGAGGAAATGCTTCCTCCTGCCTGCAGCAGACTGATCACTGGGGGAGGGGAGACTGAGGAAATGCTTCCTCCTGCCTGCAGCAGACTGATCACTGGGGGAGGGGAGACTGAGGAAATGCTTCCTCCTGCCTGCAGCAGACTGATCACTGGGGGAGGGGAGACTGAGGAAATGCTTCCTCCTGCCTGCAGCAGACTGATCACTGGGGGAGGGGAGACTGAGGAAATGCTTCCTCCTGCCTGCAGCAGACTGATCACTGGGGGAGGGGAGACTGAGGAAATGCTTCCTCCTGCCTGCAGCAGACTGATCACTGGGGGAGGGGAGACTGAGGAAATGCTTCCTCCTGCCTGCAGCAGACTGATCACTGGGGGAGGGGAGACTGAGGAAATGCTTCCTCCTGCCTGCAGCAGACTGATCACTGGGGGAGGGGAGACTGAGGAAATGCTTCCTCCTGCCTGCAGCAGACTGATCACTGGGGGAGGGGAGACTGAGGAAATGCTTCCTCCTGCCTGCAGCAGACTGATCACTGGGGGAGGGGAGACTGAGGAAATGCTTCCTCCTGCCTGCAGCAGACTGATCACTGGGGGAGGGGAGACTGAGGAAATGCTTCCTCCTGCCTGCAGCAGACTGATCACTGGGGGAGGGGAGACTGAGGAAATGCTTCCTCCTGCCTGCAGCAGACTGATCACTGGGGGAGGGGAGACTGAGGAAATGCTTCCTCCTGCCTGCAGCAGACTGATCACTGGGGGAGGGGAGACTGAGGAAATGCTTCCTCCTGCCTGCAGCAGACTGATCACTGGGGGAGGGGAGACTGAGGAAATGCTTCCTCCTGCCTGCAGCAGACTGATCACTGGGGGAGGGGAGACTGAGGAAATGCTTCCTCCTGCCTGCAGCAGACTGATCACTGGGGGAGGGGAGACTGAGGAAATGCTTCCTCCTGCCTGCAGCAGACTGATCACTGGGGGAGGGGAGACTGAGGAAATGCTTCCTCCTGCCTGCAGCAGACTAATAACATTACTGATGAGGGATATGATCTAGTCGGGGGACCCTGATATACATTATTATTATACAGTTTGCGCAGCGCTTTACAAGATGGGGGAGACGGTTACAGTACAATTTCAGTACAATAGGGTTAGGAGGGCCCCGATCCTAGGAGCTCACAATCTAGCAGAGGGCGGTGTCCTGGTCTGATTTCGGGGTGTGTGGTAACGGGAGATCTATTCTATCTTGTAGTCTGACCAGTCCGGGTCAATCATTAAGCCCCCCGCAGCGGATACTCGCCGCGATTTTGTTGTGTTTATAGAGAACTTGTCTTTCCTGTTC